GCGAGCTGGTCGGCGCTCAACGATATCACCAACGGTGCTCTATTGAAGCCTCTCCCCCAAGCACATGTCTGCTACAACACTAGCCTGGCTGCTGCAGACCAGAGCGCTTGCGATGCCATGACCAAGTCGTGGACTGATCCGTTTTCCCAGTATGTAGCCTTTGAAGATTGCCTCCTCATAGCCATCGACTAACGTATATGAACAGGCTCGACGACCCACTTGAGATGTTAAGTCCGATGTACCAAGGCAGTACATGCCAACCACCTCAGCTCTACGATAGTAAAGAGTGCACCCAAGGAGGATACTCTCTCTACGTCGTAAATGCCTCGACTACCGCGCAGATCCAGCTAGCGCTTAACTTTGCGCGGAACACAGGCGTCCGCTTTGTAGTCCGGAATACAGGTCACGATTTTGCGGTAAGTGCTTCATCCATACCCAATCTTCCAATCGCTGATAGCTCTTAGGGCAAGAGCGGTGGTGCTGGCTCTCTTAGCGTATGGACTCATGGATTAAAAGACATTGCATTCCTCGATAACTACGAGTCTGGAGATTACACTGGACCGGCTATGAAGGCTGGCTCAGGTGCGCAAGGCTTTGAGCTTTACGCTGCTGCGAGAGACTTCGGCGGCACAGTCCTTGGCGGTGAATGTCAGTACTTACTTTCAAGCATGTCTCAATGTATACTGACTTTGCTTGATACACAGGCCCTACCGTTGGCGCAATGGGTGGATGGATCCAAGGTGGCGGCCACTCACCTTTGTCCGGCCACCTAGGCTTAGGCGCTGACCATGTGCTTTCCATGGAGGTCGTCTTGGCAGACGGTCGCTACGTGACTGCTGACAAGAACAATAACCCCGAGCTGTTCTGGTCATTACGCGGTGGCGGCGGTCTGACTTTCGGTGTCGTAACCTCCGTCACCGTCAAGGTACATCCAGACCAACCCATTGCCTCCGCCAACTGGGTTGTCACCACAGGCAAGAACGTCAGCACCGAAGCCTTCAAGCAAGGACTCAAAGCCTACATGGAATATTTCCCACAGAACGCCGATAACAACACTTACGCCTACTGGAAAGTTTTCCCGGGCCCCGATTCCATCATGATGGATATGTCGCCTTTCTTCGCTCCCGGCAAGACCGTCGAAGAAGCCAAAGCCCTGGTCGACCCTTGGGTAAAAGACATGGCTACGCTTGGAATCACTGTCGAGCCCGAATGGACGCAGTACAATGGCTTCTACGACGCGTACAACGGCTCTTTCCCCGTGGAGGCCGTTAATAGTAATGGTGTAGCCACTACCTCACGCATGATCCCCCGTTCCAACTGGGCCAACGAATCGATCTTCAACGAGACTTTCGAAGCCCTCTGGCAAGCCGTCGACGAAGGTATGGCGCTGATCGGCTACAACATGGCGCCATCATGGGAGAAAGGCGGACGCCCTGACAACTCTGTCAATCCAGCTTGGAGAAACATGCTCGGTTTCATCATTACTGGGACTGTGCTGAACATGACGAATCCAGCTGCGGAGATTGTCGAGGAGCGCCTCAACATGACTTATGGCGTTATGCAGAAATGGCGCGATCTCACACCTGGCTCCGGTTCGTACCTCTCCGAGGGAGACCGCCTTGAGCCGAATTTTCAATGGTCGTTTTGGGGTAGCTTCTACCCGCGTCTTTTGGAGGCGAAGCGCAAGTTTGATCCGTTCAATCTCTTCTGGGCTGCTGGGGCAGTGGGCAGTGAGTTCTTCAATGTGCGTAGCGTTGACGCTTTGCCGAATGAGAATGGGAGGCTTTGTATTAATCCGAAGCCAACGCTCTACCAGGCTGAGGGTCCTGACTGGGTTCCACAGTAAATGGATGGTGTCATGGCGACCAAACGTGTATAGATCCGAGATTAAGGGGTTCACAGTTCATGCTGATAGAAAATACCATCGAGGCTGATGAGCCGACGGATGCCCAATCAGTTGAACACATTGAAGGCTTTGCTTTTTTTCTTGGCAACGAAGTACATCACTAGCGTCGATCAGGTGCAAGGTATCGTCTTGATAATGATGGTCTACATTGAGAGCATCGTCTCTTGTACTGTCTAGGTATCATATGCACATGCCACGTCAACCTCGTCCAGGGCCAGTAAATGCTTCTCCCATAACTACATAACCTTCCTGTTGTTTCCATCCGATCCCAACTCCAAAATCAGACCATTCAAGTTCAAGCGTTGGATATTTCCGTTGTGTATGTCGCGGCGTCTTGCTTGGCATCATCATTCATGAACAGCCGAGGGGCTGCACTCAGAAGCTTGGGTTGCCGTTGATCTTGAGACCGCTCACACCGTTGGCAATGCCTTCAGCATCAAGTCCATTCGTCATGCCACTTTGGTAGTCGTGAGTGATCTCGTCGAGCATACCAGCACTAGCAGCGACGAAACCCAAGTAGGGTCTGCTCGGGTCCAGGACGCGGGACAGGTATTCCGGGTGGAACTGGACACCAACGAACCAGGGATGGTCCTTGATTTCGATAACCTCCATACGTACACCAGCTTCATCTTTGCCGACAAAGCTCAGACCGCCCTTCTCGAGCGTCTCAATGTAGTCAGGGTTGACCTCATATCGGTGACGGTGGCGCTCGAGGATCTCCTCCTTGCCAGCGTACAACGCGCGGAGACGAGACCACTCGCTGCCTGGTTGGAAGAGTGTGGGTCGGAGTCCGAGACGCATAGATGCGCCCATAGTGCTCTTGTCTACCTCTGGCATGAACATGATGAGCTTGTTCTGCGCCTCGCCGTTGAACTCCTCGGAGGTTGCGTCCTTGATGCCGCAAACGTTACGAGCGTACTCAATAACGGCAATCTGCATGCCGAGGCAGATACCAAGGTATGGCTTCTTATGCTCACGCGCCCAGGTGGCCGCTGAAATCATACCTTCTGTGGCACGTTGACCGAAGCCACCCGGTACCAGGATACCCGATGCCTTGACGACCTCGTGCCAAGCGTTGTGGTACTTTGCGGGGTCTGTCTTCTGACACTTGGGCTCCAGATGGTCCGAGTCCACCCAGCGAATGTCCAGCTTCCTCTTGCACCGCATCGTAGCGTGTTCCAGCGATTTGATGACTGACAGGTATGAGTCTTGGAGCTCCACGTACTTTCCGACGAGTGCGATCGTGACCGGGTCGTGGAAACGAGTGTCGTGGCCGGTGAGCGACTGCCATTGCGCCCAGGTATGGTTGCCCTTTTGCAGCATTGACGCTGAGACTGAAACTTGCTCGAGAGCAAGGAATTGGCGTACCATCGGAATCAGTCTTTGTTGTTCGAGAAGCATCGGTACTTGGTAGATGGATGGCATGTCACGGACAACAAGGACTTGTTCGTTCTCGACCTGGCAGAAGTGGGCGATCTTCTCGACAGCGGAGGCTTCAAGTTCGCGCTCGCAGCGGCAGGCAATCTAGTACTGTCAGTCATCCAAAGTAATGGCCAACGTGAAAGGCTTGACATACCAAATCTGGGATCAGACCATTACTCCTCACCGCCTTGATAGCCTGCTGCGTAGGCTTCGTCTTCTGCTCGCCGTGAATGACCGGGACATACGAGACGTGAATCTGCATAAAGTTGTTCTTGCCCGCACGCCTCCTCAGCTGGCTCATAGCCTCAATGAAGGGCATGCTCTCGATGTCGCCCACGGTTCCTCCCAGCTCGATTATGCAGACGTCCGGCTCCTCGCCTGAGTCATCGACGGGTATCCGCGAGACCTTCTCGATCCAATCTTGAATCGCATCGGTGATGTGTGGGACGACTTGTACGGTTTTACCCAGGTAGTCGCCCTTGCGCTCGCGTTCGATAACGTGCTGGTAGATCTTGCCAGTGGTGATGTTGTTGTCGCGGGTGAGGGTGATGTTGAGGTAGCGCTCGTAGTTGCCAAGATCAAGGTCGACTTCGCCGCCGTCGGAGAGGACGAATACTTCGCCATGCCTGGGTTTTTTTAGTCTATATTCACGGTACGGTTGGTGAAGCCTACTCCTTCGGGTTCATAGTTCCCGCATCGACATTGAGGTACGGGTCGACCTTGATCGACGAGACGTGCTGAGACGTCAGTATGGTCGGTAAACCGCGTCAGTCCATTGCACTTATCTTGAGGCCGATTGTCTTGAGGAGAAGTCCTGTAGAGGAGGCTGCGACGCGTCAATCAGCTACAGCACGCAAAATAAGATCCTGACGTAGAAGATGATGCACAGTGGTGCACTTCGGCTACACACTGATAGCGATGGTCTCGTAGAGGCTTGTATGCTCTCACGAAAGTCAAACTTCGCGTGGAGCGTCATAGACGCGCGACGCTTCTGGCCCGTGTCAAATAGCTTACCTATGATACCCTGTGTGTACGCGTTAGTGGTGATCAAAGGCGCGGCAACCTGCAGCTTACCTTCCCCACGCCGCTGATGACGCCGCCAGACACAAGCACGTACTTCATGATGCTGTTTGGTGCCTCAATCGGTTATGGGGAAGGGGAGGGAAGGAAGAAAAGTCGAGATTTCGCACGCGTTAACTTTGAAAGAAAATCGGCGCATGGACCCTCTAGCGGGGCAGATCCGCCCGCACTAGCGCCCTCTCGAGGCTTGAGGCTTGCGACCATGATCCTGCAGCGAATCTTAATCCGAAGCTTCATTTCCTGAGAAAAACTGTCTCAAGCCCAGTGTCTTCTTATATTAACTTCAAATACGAGCTATCAAATGGTATCGTGCTCCCGTCCGTCGAATATCAAATGCATTACAATGTGACCGCCTCACCGAGTCTTCAGACCCCTCCTGTGTTGTATAAACGCCATGCAAACGTTCTCAACGCTGGCAACTTTGGAACTAAAATGAAACGTCCGAGGGGGGAATAGGGTTTGTTCATCATGTCGTCAAGATGCAAATCGGTATCTGCAAAAGATGCTCCAGATAACCCAAATAATAACCCACATCGCCCGCTGTAGATGATGCTCATGAAAATGTAGATGCCTGAGAGGTGTGGCGAGTTTGTCATTCTCTGCGCCGTCGCTTCAGCTCGTCCTCTTCCGTATTGTCGTGTTCTTGGCTCGCGGTGAGTCGTTTGCGTGCCAGTGCCTTTTCATTGCCCTTCTTCACTTGGATATTGCACCCTTGTAACTTCAATGCCCGGGTGAGCGCGCTGCTTGGTCGCATACCCGGAAAGTCTTTGGCTGTGTAGACTGTGAAGACATCGCTCAAGACCTCGGTGAGTATGGGCGAGAACCCTCCCACGTGGAGGTTCATAGGATCGATGCGCATGAGGACGAACCGGAGTCGGTACTTGCCATGTGTACGGCAAGAGAGGTCTGGAAAGCAGAAAAAGCAACCCTCGGCATCATGCTCATCCTTTGCTACAGACGGAGAAGCTACGAGCTGGCCCATTAGTCGTCGCGTTGTTCGTCGGTCAGGCTGTATGAGTGCCGTCTCTTCGTTCGTCCCTTCTGCGTTCCAGAGCGTGCAATGAACCACGTTGAGCGAGTAACGAAGCTCTTCTTGTTCAGCAGCACCGGTCTTCGGATCCGTTACTAGTAGCTGGATGATTGGCGGAGGGTCTATCACCCTGCGGTCGCGTTCTCCGAACCCACATGCTCGCGCAGCGATGGGTTGTTGTCGCACACGAAGCTCGTAGTTTAGATTCCTATCTGTGTCAGTCAACGTTGACCTACCCAGGCGGGAGGTGTTCCTACAGTTGTTCGTTGTACACAGGCTGTGGTATCGAACCTGGCAACGGAATTGCTCGATGCTGTTTCTGGGGCGGAGGGGCTGTCGCAGGGGTTTCTGAATACGAAATAGATCCCAATGGCGCCGCTAGAGAGCCGCGATGTGATTGTGAGTGCTGATGGGAACCGACGGACCCGCGGAATGGAGTGCTACTTGATACATAGCTTGGTGTGTACCCAGGCGAGGGCAGTGGAGGGTAGGCTCTTTGCTGCGAGGCTTCTACTGGAGAAGTGAGGGATGAGTAGGGCTGCTCGTGGTGTTGACTGTGGGGTTGGTTGGGGTGATAGTGGCGAGGCTCCTCGTACGGGTACCGGTGTTCAGTTAGTCTTCGCGGCCCTCTGCTGTCAAACTCGGAACGTGGTGAGATGGGGGGACCATATTGCTGGGGAGAATATGGTGGGTCTGATCTAGGTGGGGTGTAAGGATTCGAGTGCTGCAGTAGCTTCTCGACGGGGGCTGCTGCTCTATGTAACGAGGACGGCTGAGGGTAGTCGTGTCGTGGGGGCAGTCCAGCATGGATCGAGGGCAGTTGATTGATGGGGGAGCGGAACTGGTGATCCGGGCGTGGTGGTACAGCGTCTGGCGGGATCTCCAGCGGGGGCAGTCGGCGATGGGAGTAGTCGAGAAAGCCAGGGGGCGAAAAGATGGGAAGTTTCTGGGTCTCGGTCATATCTGGAGCAGGACGAGAAGATGTTGTCAGAGGGAGCGACGGCGGCGGAGGTGGAGGTGGTTGGGACATGCGTGTATTATTATTTGGCCGGGCCAGGACACGATGCACGAAGCCGCATTGGGATGAGGGTTGTGTTCAGTTCGGAGGCTCTTTTCAAATTGGGAGCAACGGGTCGTGGTGCAGTGTTGGACAAGACGTCAGGAGTGGGAGCACTGCCTCGAGTGTGGCGGCGTGAGTAGTTTATAGTTGACGGTTCCCTGTAGTCAACCCTGTAGGTATCTGGATCGCCAGCAGCCAGATCGACGGTCGGATGCTTGGATTCAGCAATGGCGACGTTGAAGTGGAGGCGCTCAGACGCCTTAAAACAACGGGCGCCCGGGAAGGGGAAAGGATGCAGACGGGGGTGGGCCCGCAGCACCCTGTTCACTCGCAAGCCTCACGCCAACCGTCAAGAGTAGCCGGCTCGGAGCATAAATTTCAACAAGGACAGCGATAAGTGCAGCGATGGGAGGGCGGATCCGAGCTTGGCGGAGCGGTGCTAGTCCCCAGGTTTCTGACGTGGGCTGGGTGCAAGCGATATGAAGGCCGGGAGATGGGCACTGCTCGCAGGTGACGGAGTGGGGACATGTCATGGCCGACTGGCATGATCAAATGATGGTGATGGCGTCTGGCTGGTGCATGTGGCCTCAGCGGGCGCCATGCAGCAGGAAACTTTGGGAAGTCTAGCTCAGTGAACTGGCTTCGCAGTATTTTCGTGGGGCGTCCGTTGCAGGCTGGCGGCCGGGTAAAAGGTGGACAAACAACGGCGTCCCGGTTTCGCAGGCACGTCTGTTTCGAATCAAGGCGGGCCAGGGTGTTGCACACTGTAACCCGGCGGCAGCCAATATGGAGCAATATGCCAGATATCACGTAACTCGGTCGGTGGGCGCTGGCGGGCGACGCTTTCGGCGAGGGTCCAGATGGAGGTCAGGAGTGGCTGCAGCGCGAACCTGGGAACGGCCTGGAGGCCCATCTGTCAGCGGGCGCGGCGAATGGCGAGGCTGCAGCGGTGCGGCTAAAAGCGATCTGCCCTGCGACGCCTTTCTTGTCCGTCTCCGCGCACCCACTTGGGCTGGTGAACCCAGTCAGGACGGCTACCGGGCTTTTGGAAGACGGCTGCCGTCGCATGCGCCCATCCAGCAGTGACATGAGACAAAGCCTCCGCACCTGGCTATCGGACTCGATGGGCAACGGGCACGGCCGCTTATGTTGGTCGGTGGCTTGCGCTTGACCGCGGTGGGCGACCGTTGTCGTTAACAGCAGACAATTAAGACACGCAGTATGCTGCCAGTATCGCTGCCATGGCGGCGACACGAATCACGGCCCTTCGCTTGCGGCCCTGGAGAGAGTGGCAGCATATTGCAGTCATGGGATTTGTCCACGGGTGCCTTTCAGTTGGACATGGGACGGCAGTTGTCGTCCATCTGTCTATCTGTCTACCACTCTACCACTACCAGACTACCACTACCACTCTATCACTGTCTCGCGTGGTCTACTCCACATCAGACGGCAGTCGACCGTTTAGAGTAACAGCTGGATTGTCTGAGTAACAGATTGCCCGAGTAACAACGTTGCAGCGGTCCTAGCGCCTCTCTTATTGCCTCAATGCCTCGCTGCTCAGTCTGATATTGCGCCCGCACGGCGTACCTGCGTGTGTGCGCGCGCCCTAGGCTAGCCGCCTCCGCCGTGTGCTACCTCAGGCGGACGCATGTCTACTTTGACACACTCGTCCTCTGCTACCCCTCACCACCCATCGCGACGACGCTGCCCTCGGTGAGCGAGTCCGCCAATTGCTCTCCCTGGCACGTGTCGCAGCCAATCGTCCGCCCGGGCACCTGCCGTCTCTGCCCTCTACTCTACGCGACCACCCAACCGCCGCCCACGCCTCCCTCACCGCCCCGTCGTCTCCCACAGCTGCAACACTACTCTGCGCTGAATCACGTCGCCACTCCAGGGCTCGATCGACACGCTGCCCGCATGGCTGCTCACTTCGGCAACTACGTGGGTACGTGCGAGGCCACCTCACCCAGACGGGCTGTGGGCGTTCTGACGTGCCCTCTACCGTGGCTCAAAGCGGCCTCTGCTCGGCAATTGCTGCCCTGCCTCGATTCGTGCTGACGGCCTGCAGACTATAGTGGGGCCAAGCCTCCTGCCTCAGCGACTCACGTTCGCGACCCACGTCTGCACATCCTGGCGGCGACGATTCCGGAGATCTTCGCCAACAAGCACATTCTCGACATCGGCTGCAATGCTGGCAGCGTTTCGATCCAACTAGGTAAGTCCAGGAAGGATACCCCTGCCACCTGCTGCAACCGACTATTACCACCATCGACGAGATATTGATCAACTGCAGCCCTCGATTTCCACGCGGCTGCCGTCACTGGCGTCGATATCGATCCCAAGCTGATTGCCCAGGCCGAGAAGCTCCTGGCCTTGCGCGCTTCCCGTGCAACACCCCCCACGAGTTGCGACCCACCCGTCGTCGACTACTTTCCCATGTCGGCCGTGCTCACTCATGGCTACCGGATTGAACCGCACCGCAAGCCTGTCCACACGTCTTCCGCTGCGTCAGCTGCCTGGCCGCGTGTAACCTTCTTTTCTGCAGATTGGGTCCTGCCCTCTGACCAAGATGCTACCGACTCATACCATGTCATCCTGGCATTATCCGTCATTAAATGGATCCACCTCGAACATCGAGACGCTGGTCTGACGACGTTTTTCGCAAAGTGCTCATCGTCTTTGAAACCGGGCGGCTACCTGGTCATCGAGCTCCAGACCTGGGACTCATATCAAAAGGCCATTCGCCCCAATCATGCTCCGCATTTCCACGAGACCCTCAAGGAGCTGCAACTACGGCCAGAGACATCGTTTGACAGTCTCCTTGCCAATCACGGTCTGCACCTCTGCGCTTCGTCGGACGCACTCCCTCGTCGCATCAATGTCTATCAAAAGGCCTAAGAGCGGTCGGTAGACATATTGGTAGGGATTGACACTCTTCCACTAGCATCACGTTTCATGGCGTTCGGGTCCCAGTCTCTAGTATCGGGATTTACCATCTCGTCTCGCTCGGGAGACGTTGCAAGTCATCCATGGCATTATTCACGTTGACTAATCTCTACACTCGTGCCGCTGCAGCATCTACCGTATCTGGCTCTCATATTCTATTAATCAAAGTACACATGTTAGATTGAACTCGCTATCCAGGCAAGTAGAAAAGTATCCCAATCCGCGGCTAGTTACTACAAACGGCTGGTCTGCGCTCCACTTTCTTGGTCTTCTCTCCGAGGCTGTTCCCTGTCCGCCGATCTTTGGCCCTCACCATCCCAGGTTCTATCAAGCCATGCATCGTACGATTGCGGCAGCTATGCAAGTAAAGATCGGCCGAATAACAGGCTTTTCAAACTTCCGGCCTCGATGTCCGCCTCAGTAGTGAGGCATGCAGCTACAACCTAATTGTGATTGCAGCCATGGCTCCGCAAACGTCTCTGGCGGGCCACGGTAGAGTAGTGAGGTTGCGACATTTGCATTAGCCGCGTTACTACACAACCCGCCACGCTAGCCAATGGCGGCTCGGAAGCTTTTCGGCTTATGCCGGGTACCCATCCTCTGGTTCTCCAGACATTAGATCACATGTCGTCCACTAATGCAAACCTTATTCCACTCCGGATCTCGTGCAGGCCGAGGTTTTCTGCTTATGCTGTTCAATAGTATATCTACTACCAGCCGTGCTATCCTCCTCGTAACGTCATCTCAGATGGCCGGCTCTAGATGTTTCGACAATTGATGATCGCTCACCGGTCCGTACATTGTGACAAAGTCTAGATGACAGGAGCGTAGGTTCGCCGACTCCATGGCAACATGGTTTAACCTAGCCGCCACTGACCGCTTATGAGCTGTCACAGAACGTGAAATTGCCAAACTCTCGTTGACAATATGACTGCTGATGCTGTGAAAGATGAGATATGACGTTGCATTTCCGTCAGAGAGCACCAATTCCCCGTCTGTACCATCTCAAACAGGTAAATCCCTCGAATCTCACGCTTTGGTCCCTGAAGCCTTGAGGACGGCGCAAAGGTTCGAGCGCTTGGTTTCCCTCATCAGCCGTAGATTCACCTTAGCTCGCACCTTGCGAACCACGTCGACTGTTGAGGAGCTCTCTGGGAGATTATGCCACACCAAGTACAAAGCTTGATGGAGTGGCTGAGTTACCTCTGGACCGGTGCTGCACGATGCCTTGCCCGCTGGATGCCATCTCATCAACATCTCGTTCGAGAACCAGGGACAGGCCGTATGCTTTGAAAATTGAGTTACTGGGTCCCGGTTGATGCGAGCTGGCGACTCGGTTGTCGATCCGTCAGAGCGGTAGGCTCATTCGACATAGTCTACAGATCTTGAGAGGTGCTCAATCTCGCAGGTGAAGTCGGCCCTCACGAAAACCCAATGCATTAGCTGG